ATAGAATTGTAGACAGCAGTTTTTCGTAGGCGCGGGAACGAACACAACCGCGGTCGACGGCCGGTTCCATTGATAACAGCGATCGCAAATACGCTCGATGGACACGTTTAATATCCACAGAATGCGTTACTTCAAATAACTAACTTGCGAACGATTAACCTAGAAGCAGATCTGAAGCTTATTTAAGGAGGGAGCGAATTAGAATCATAGGCTTTTAAGCACACGTCGCCACGTCGGGGTACATAATCATGACCGATACGTTTTAACCTTACCTAACGGAGAGCAACCTCCACTTTGCAGACAGTGAAAAAGACTTCGTGACGATCTGTACGACCACCATCGAACACTCGTGACACATCAACACCTACCCGAATCGGTAACCCCATACTTAAATATATTATTTAAATATCCATTATATATTATCTAAATATCCATTATATATTATCTATAATATCTTACTTACTTAATAATTTTACGATTATCTGTCATATTAATAATATACGTTGTATTTATGATTATGTGCTTTACTTAAATAAGGTATCACTGATTTACACACCGAGGTCGAGTCTCCGAGACCTCGTTAATATATTATAAACATAACTTGACCATTAGGGAACGCAAGTTTCCCGCACGCAACTGGTGAAGAGGGGACTTTTGAATTGTGTTGCCGTCCGCAAGTGCGTACATTATAATTTATCATTGTTTATAAACTGTATTTTAAATAGCATTGCGATTAAATATTTTATATTAACACATTTTTAAACAACACTAATATATTACAATAATATTTAAAATTAATGGTGTTGTGTAGTCACCAGTTAGCGCTGGTAAGAATTTAAGATGCAATACCTAGACACTTTCTAAAGAAAATTAATCTGTACCTAAGTTATAAAATATTGTGTATCTCATATCTCAATAGAAGTATTTAAGAGACTGTTTCAAGATAAAATTAAATACTTTATTAGTTTAGCAAACATATACTAATAATGTAAATTTCCCATTTGCCATTAAACGTATACCAATATTCATTTAGTGTGGCACATCTAGTTGAGACAGATATCGTGTAATCTATACTTACATTATTCACAGATTTTTTGTTAATACGTGACTTGTAAAATTCAATTAAAACTTTGTTAGAATCATTATGACGTTATGCGCGTACCTAATAATTTAAAATTAATATTAACTTAATTAATTTGATATAGTTGATTGATTAAATGTGAATTGGTTACGTATTTTAATGTAAAAATATTAATATTAATGTGGTATTATATAAAATATAACATTCAGTAATGCATTATATTTATGTAGGTTATCGTGGTAGGACATATTATTAAAATCTATAAGATTTTGATATTTGGCAGTTACTACTGACTACTGAGTGCTCTTCGGTTCTATTATTCTCGTCATTATATTTGCACATATAATCAATATTACTCGAGATATATATATTGTAATTATTTAATTTTTAAAAACGATGGTTTTTAAAAATATTATAATCCACGGACCTGCATTTGTGGCCTATATACTCAAACAACTATACATAATACAATACTATATACTCTACTCGATAAAACAATATTTTGTTTTCATCTTTTATACGCATTATTATAGCGAGTATACATAGTTATTTATAAATTTCGAATTCACAAATTCACAATTTTAAATAAACGATAACGATTAGTATTCACTCTTACTTCATAATATATACCGTAATAAGCGTGTATAAAAAAAAAAAAAAGTAAAATAAAATAAAATAAAACGGAAAAACGTATTCAACTCGAGACTGCTGATTACTTGCCGGGTTATTTATTTCTGTTACAATAATCAACTTCCTTTTTTCCGGAACACAGTATCAAATGTAAATTTCATACCGGCAGTGGTAATTTCAATATAAATGAATTTCAGCGCGTATACCACATGCAACGGGCGAATCGACTTTCATACTATAATTCCTTTGAGGTGTCCGACAGTCAAATTTAAATGTACATATATTATTGCATATTTACGAATATAGCAGCCACGCTCTGAGAGATTATATATCGTCCTATCCTGAGTGTGTATATTATACACGAAAATAAAATCTTGTAATCGTTTGGTTTTCCCATCCAAAAACGTAAATAAATGTTCCCTCGAAGGAATGACTATGAGTGTATAAATACTGTGTTATGTTGGAGTTATATTTTCAAACGATTTTTATGATTAAAATTATTATTAATTCCAGTGACGCCGTGACCTTACACATACGATTATGCAAGTAGTGAATACAAAAAAAATTATAAATTTTTACTTCTATAAATCAAAGAGCGAGCATGTATAATATTAAATCGCGGTGTAAACGTATAGATAATTGGGAAACGAAATCGAGTGAATGGCATGGATTGACATTTGCCCACATTCAAATACTAACTAATAGATTCAAATCATTTGACAAGGGAGTTAAGTTCATATTAGAGAAGTCGTTGCTTATTCGATAGTAGATTTTGAAGTCGCCTGGAAAAGCAAGAATATTTAACTTAAAATTATTTCTTTAATACCGTTAATAGATAGTGTAAAAATTCGAGATAAAATATGACCAACCTGGGGAACCCCAGATGAGATATGTGAAACATTAGATTTATAAACATTTATTTTCACCCATTGATGTCTTCCGAATAGATAAGATTTAAACCAAAATTTGCGGATCACTTTACAAAGAATATTGTGGTCGACATAATTGAAAATTTTACTGAAGTCCGTAAACATGACAATACCTTTGTATTTGTTTTCAAAAGCTTCAATTATGAAATTATTGAGAACCAACAAATTCATAACAGCTGATTAACCTGGTCTAGAACCATATTGCTCATCAATAAGAATCAAGTTGACTAAGGGAATAGGATAGATAATATAAAGTATCTATATGAGTTTCTCGAATAGTTTAGAAATATAAGTTGGATAAAGATAGACCTAAAGTTTTTGACAACAGTTTAGATAAATCACAGTGCTTAGTACAACATGACCTGTATTTTAGTGTACAAAGTAAATGGACATTACACACTGCGCTAAAACGTCCCGTGTCAATTTATACATTCATCAATAATTGCATATTACATACTAAATTGCCTATCTAAAACCCCTTAAAAATCGTGTGAACGACGTGAATTATCTAATTTTTTTTTTAAATAAAATGATGACCGTTTTTTAAAATTTATTTTTAGTATAGCAGTTAAATGTATATATATAAAAATTAGCCACCTTGCATATTGTTAAAATCAATAGTTATAATGATGTTTTTTTCGGCAACCCGCGGACGATGAAATCTTCCCTGACATCTTAAAAATTAGTTCGCTAACTCTTACCATTAATCTGGAAATGAATCCAAATTATTTATTACAGATCCATAGCTATATTTAACCTCAATTCTAAAATCTTAGAAGCAATAGTACTAAATATAATTTAAGTTTCTGTAAATAATTTGTTTAACCATTGATAAAACACACGGTTTTTGATAGGGACGTTAAACAAAAACATGGAATGTTTTTTTTCTGTAATTCAGCGCATTCGCTGTTGGTTTGTAAGTCAATATGATCTACAGACTTCCTCAAAACATTATCATTAATAACTACTTTGATTATTAACTACTCCTCAAAACTTCCCTCAATTGACATCATTCAGACTTAAATTGTATTTTTGTTCCTCTCATTGCGCTTCGTTCTTATATCAATCACATTATATGCAAAGCATGTATATTGAAAACCATAAATTAAAAATTACCTGTCCTCATACGAGTATAAAATATACTTAACCTAGCCCCACTATGTGACCGTGGTCGCTCCTGTAACTTAAGATTGACTTCAATGGTTCATCAAATCTTAAGTTGGTTTTCCTTCCCTTCTCATTAACTTTAAAGTACTCTCATGATCCACTTGTAAAAACACGTGATTTCTCATTTCATGTCGTTCAACTAACTATGTAGTAAACAAACCACTCAACCGTATAATAAAACTAGTAAGTGAAGCCCCTTTTGCTTTTCTCAAAAAAAACGCTTTTTTTTTAATAATATATTTAACATATCATATAATAATCTAAATTAATTAAAAATTATACGTTACATTGGGTTCAACTGCGTTATTACAAATGAAATACAAATATATATTTATTAACATTCACATTCAACTTGATAGTTAGCTATATTACCAATTATAAGTTTCAAATAATAACTACAGTTGCCACTTTTTTATGATATTTTTCTATCAAAAATGATGATTTTATTGGTTGCTATTATTTATTATCGTTTATTCGTTTCGTGTCTGTACCATATACTCGTAAGTATATAACTCACGAAATATATGAAAAGTTTTGTTTCAAATTATAGAATTTTGTTTACGTTAATTTTATTTTCGATAATCATCAAACTAATTAAAAGTTTTAAAACGAATCTGACATTTTCGGCGTTTACAAGTGAAAATTATTTTTTTTTTTAACGCATAGTTTTACATTAATTTTAGATTGAAAAATATTACATTCATAATTATTATTATAATGTGTATCACAAACATACGTCTACCTAGAAGGCTAGATAGGTAAGTTAGGAGGTCTAGGTGGGGAAAAGTTAAACCATACGTGATAGAATAAATATATTATAATGCATGATGATGTACAAGTATATTGATATGCAAATAAAAAATAACAAAACGACCATGGTGTTAAAAACTGTTTGATTCTTATCGTTTTACTAAAACGGAAACGTCGAGTAGTTTGTTTTTAATATCTTTTTAATATTATAGTTATATTTCGTGCTCACAGAAGGGGAATGAAAACACAACAATAGTTATCGCGAATAATAAACTAACGGATAATCGAAGGTTACCTAATTACATTTATATTATGCATAATATATATTATTGTTCATTTTGTCTGCGTATATATATTATATATATAAAAATACGAACGAACTAAAAACGTAAAATTATTCGATACGTTTAGATATGTTTACTTTCTGATACATAAAAAAAAAATTCAGTTTCATAAATATAAATATATTTTTTTTATTTTTTTGTTTTTACAGTAAAATTATATTAACATGTACAGTGTACGCCCCCGGGCAGCAGCAGTAACAATTTACAGCGGATTGAAAATTGCGTGTTGTCCGATGAATTTTATGCTCCATTCCATTCCGTATTCTTATTCTTACGTCAGCGATGATAGTTTTTATTTTATTTCATTTTTTTTATTTTTTATTTTTGATATTATTGCTGAATCAGCGTGTCTCATTGGTATGATTCGGGTTTCATTTTTTCACAAAATCGTTGATCGTCCTTAACGGATAAACTTGCGTGAACGGATTGTAGGGTTTGTAGAAGTTTTGCTTTATCAAGTTCTGTTGGACGTCCGCTTTCAATATGACAACACCTGTTAACAATTAAAGGAATATCAATGAAAATAAAAAAACCGAATCATTAATTCCGATCAATATATAATATATATTATAATAATTTGTCAGTGCTTTAACATTATATCGCAATATTGTATAAGAAAATATTTTAAATACTGAATTATAAAACGCAAGCACAGACTTTTGATAATTTTATTTTTTCATCTGACAACAAAACTGAGACAGCACATGTGGCTTTAATGTATTGGTATGGCTAGAGGGAAGTGAGGAGAAAGTGCGACCGCATGTGATCGTAAGGGGTGTGGACACATACGGAAAACCATCGTGTGGGAACTGTCGCATAAGTCCGTAAGTCATGGTCACACGATGTATGGAATTAAAAAAAATAAACACATTTTAGTAATTTATACGAACTCCAAATGAATTATTTGTACGTTTTATGTACGTTAAAACCCGCAGGACAAATGACCAAAATACGTACGACTAAAACTTAACTTTATTGTTATGATGAACTGCAAGATGTTTTGCTCTAAGTCGCCGTCGTTGTTACGGCCTGGTTCTATGTGTGCACCGTAACGCGTGCGTATCCTCGATATACGCATGCTTTAATCTTACTTGCGACAAACCGCGGCGATAACAATAAAGAGAGATATTTATTATTATTTTTCAAACAACGACGATGACTATCCGAATCCATTTTGGAACCGTCCCCAAAAGAGAAAACAATGTCATCAACAGAGACAGAGACAGCTTAAAGACAGATGCACGGATAGATGATGTGACGTCGTGGTGTACATACCTGCGTATACATAGATCGGCGATATGCGCCTAACGTGTTCCAGGAGGATACGCAATAATAACTGCGACGGTGCACGAGCGATTTGTATCGAAAACAATAGCAATTTCCGCGACCGCATTGGTCCGAGATGGTATACGGTTGATAACAGAAGAGATACTTCTAAATATTTATATATATATATATATTAAGTGACTAGAGAGAGAGAGAAAGAGACCGTTCCATAAGCTATCACGCGTTACAACAATTTTACGTGATTATTCGACGACGACCGCGATAATATCGTGTTTTATCATAATATATATATGTGTGTATGTATATACGGCTGGTAGTCGGTACAATAGAAGTTCGACTACAATATCCTCTGGATGATCTTTGTATGTATACGTAGGTGTTAAGTCCCGGTTTGATGGCTACAAATTGTTTGAAAATGTTGTTTATTTTCATTTTTGATTACCTTCTCCGAAATGTTAACAGTTTAAAACCGTTTAGTTTTCTATCTCTCTTTCTGTATATTCTATTCCGTGTTATATATATATAATATATATATATATAAATATACGTATAGCATGCTCTAGTACTTGCAGAATTTTATGATATTGATTTAGTTATTATGTATTATAGTATGGCAAGCGTATACGGTTTTAGTAACAGATTCATTTTGACTTGTCGAGTTTTATGGTTATATAAATCCGTGATAATTGGAATTTATAATGCGCAGTATAACGAAGTAATGCAAACAATAAATAATTTATTTTTGTGATTATTATTATTATTATTATATGTACACCATCCGTGTTAAAATTGCCAATCTATAGAGGAGGAGGCCATGAGCGAAACTCAAATCATACAATTTGGAAGCGGGTGATTAGGCGAAGATTAAAAAAATGCACGGTGAACCATATAGGATAAACTTATCTCATATTGTATAGTCGTTATTTTTATTTTTTTTTTTCTTCAAAATTTAGAACGTTTTATCGAATAGAAAATTGAATTGCATTTCGGTAACGTCATAAAATTTGATGTTATGGCACACCTACGTATTAAATATAGGTATCTAAATACATATCGTGTTTGGTTTTTCGTAACTTATTATTTTTTTTATTATGTATTCGGTATAAATATATTACACAATATGGGTTAAAAAAAATCGGCATTAAATCGGATACGATGTTTCGTGTCAAAAAGTAATAGGTACAATCATGTTTTTATGTCAATGGAAATCATAAAAAATATGGCACAGTTGTTTATTTTTAAAAGCTTACCGGTGGGATTCACTTTGACCTTGATCTTAGTCTGTGGAGACAGTACTCCGTAGTCGACATCTTCGTACAAATCCTGCGGACCACAAAAATATCGTGTAAAAATAAAAATAATAATAATAAGAGGGTTGTACAAATAATTTTGAAAGTGCGTTTTACTTGTATTCTGTATCCTGTGGGTGACAGCAGACCCATTTCATGCAACGCCACAGCCACGTCGGATGGCGTACCGTCAGTTCTGCGGTTGACGAAAGCGAGTGCATACGAGAAGTAGTTCTCGAAAATCGGAGTAACCGGCCGAGCCCATATTTCGATGCCTTTGTGCTGCAATAATAATCGCCGACATTGTTATTGATTTAAATAATTTTAACGTGTTGAAAAAAGTCGCGTTTATCCCCCCCCCCCAACCATAATACCCCCCGTCAATTTGATTTGTGTAGCATATTATGTATAAACGACAATAATTTTTAATAAGGTTTCGATGAGCTATCTATCATCCATTGTTTAATTCAATGATGTACAACAATAACTATACATCTACATATTATATTATATAATGTACTAAAAATTACGTTTTATGACGTTTAATTACGTAGGTACTCAAAACTATTCACTTCCGTCAAAATCAAAATCATATATGTGTCTCTATGCAATATTATCAAGTACTAATATTAATCAATTTTTGTAAATATGATTTTCTGACTAAATTTAAAATTACTACCTAAACTATATGTCTACAGTGTTTCGTGCAGTAAAAAAACATTCATCGGATAATCATTTGTAAAATTATAGTTTACAAAATAATTGAATTGTATGTATAGGTATGTAGTTTATATTTAATAATATGATTTTTTGAGTAGGTACCGTTATTGTAAATTATTGAACATTTGCCCAAGAATGTTTTTAAGTCGTTATTTTAATTTAATAATTAAAATTAAAACAAATACAATCGAATGCCTAATGGATATCTAGCAACAAATAGTAAACAATTTTCAATTTTTTTCCATGCTGAGAATAAGTTTATTTTTCTAATTATAACTTTTTTATACTGTTTATTTTGTTTCATAATTTATTAAAATTTTACAACCAATTAATGTTTTATTATTTATGCACACGGCCGGACTAAAGTAATTACTAATTTTACTTTATTGTATATTGTAATACATTAATAAATTATAAATCAAATTATTACTTAATCAAAAACTAAGTGAATATATATATATATATATATATATATATATATATATAATTATTTTTATTTAATAATAGATAAAAAAAAAATGCAACGTACATATTTTTAAAAATATTTAATTTAATAAAGTACCTACCTGTATAATCGCATTGGCGCATAATTTTGTTGTTTATTTAATTTTTAGGGAAGTGAAATTTAGAACATTTTATAGGCTTTCACCTTGTGGTCAAAGTATACAATTCCGTGAGAATAACTATTTTTTACTATGTATAACAAATACTCATGCATAACCATCTATCTACATATATATTATTATGCCACATATGTTTAATACGTGAACGTTATAAATGATTTTAATTATACGTGTTACGTGATCGCTGATGAGTTTATAAGTAAATAGTGTATAATAAGAACCGTACGAATAGGTAGGTATTTGTACAAAAACAAAAACAACGTTTTCCCTTTTAAACTAAATATCTGAATTGAAAGAATGTTTTAATGGATAAATAAATTGCGTAAGTATGAAAAACACCAGGTATGAACAAAATATTTGTATACTGACCTTGTAAATCCTGCGGCCCTGAATTCCCAATTTGTCTTGATCGATGGCTATAATTTTTTTGTTTTGTAAAATCGCTTTGTATTCGGGTCTAATGGTCCTTAAGTCGACTGACATGAGCAGCGGGGCGGCTAGTATGGCCCATATGGCCATCTGCACCTTGCTTTGTTCGTAGCTCAAACCAAAGTTTCCGATGATCAACTGCATAAAGACGGTGAAGATCATTTTAGTTTGTTTAATTTGTATACAATTTATTGCATAAAATATGTCTATTTGTATAATATTATGTACAAAGAGCACGAGGAAAAACACGACGATAAACTGTTTATAGGGGTGATTAATAATGATAGTCCCTCTATACCTCAATCAACTTTCAGTTCGACAAATAATAGTCAACTATGTATCAGTCTACGTATTCTATTCTTTTGCGTAAATCTACTGTTCCGAGTCTAAAAAAAAGAAGCGAATTTAAAAAATGAAATTTATTGATACGCGTTAATATATATAGCTATTTTACAATGGTAATGTTTTGTATGGGACTGTAGCCGCTCCATAAACAAATTCTATTTATGACTGCATAAGTTCGTTTTAAGCGAATAGTATCCTGTATGATATTTCAACTTCTTAATCTATGTGTATTACACATAAATCTATACAATTTAAAAGAAATATTACCATGTCTGGATCGTTCCAATGTCCAGGAGCTGCGTTGGCCGCAATGATATCTTGGTTGTCGCCGTAGTAGTCAATGATGCTCTCCACACTAGCCCACGAGTCTTGGATGTCGTCAAAGTTTCTCCACAAGTTACATCTCGATGTTATTGCCGAATAGTTGGGCTAAACACACGATAAGCAAATATTAATGACATTTATTTGAATATTTTGTTGTTGCAATGGTAATTATTATTCTAAAGACGCTGTCGAACAACACGAACGTAATCAAATATTTGCTATGGAATGAAGAACATTTACGTAATCTATTTAAATGCAAATCTGATCCACAATTATAAAGAATCACTTAGTAACCTTAAATATAATTTAATAAAATTACAAAATAAGTATATTATGATGAATGCGTTTATTATTAGACATAATAATCGTAATACGAATACAATAATACTTATAATTAATACGTTATTACTAATAACAATATAATAACTACTAATAATATTAGTTATTGATAATATTATCATTCCGATAAAATAATATTCTTATAAATGATTCATTGATCGAAAAAAAAATTAAAATAAAAGTTCTCAGAGATTTTTCTCAATCAATCCCTCTTTTAACTTCATTCTTGTATTTTCTTGTTACGGTTATCGAAAACCGAAGCGCTATCTACGAAAGACTTTCAACTTTTGGTTGATACCTTTTACATGTTTATAGAGGGCGGAAAACGCACCGAAAAATGATTCGAATTGTCACAAAATGCAACGAATTTACTATAAATAATTTATAATAAACAATATTGTATAATAATTATTATTATTATATAATATTGTTAGAAATATTAGTCATTACTTGTTCATTAGTAATAATTTAAAATTTAAATTAATAATAAATGTAGTTGCCGGAAATAGAATAATTAGGTAATGCAATAAAAATGTCTGTAAGAAGAACTTACTGCGAAAACACTATATAAATACGAATAAAATTAAGTTTATAATATATCATAAATATTTGATAATAATAATAATAATCATAATTAGATGAATACGGTTTAAAATTTCAAGATTTATCGTTAAAAAGAGTTATGTGACTGTGTGGCATCGTGAGAACATTCGATTGTATGCAAAATTCGAGTGCAACATTTAAATAACCGATTATAGGTATTATTTGAACGCACCTTTATGTAGTTGAGATTTGGAAAACGGTATGGATAATTGTTTTATTTCTCGTTATTTTTTAATGTTAAAACTTAATGCCTGTAGCTGCAGTTATCTGCTGGACATAATCAAAATATAGATTTTAAATTGAAGTGCATAATGTCTGTTTACAGTTCGTGTGGACAACTCGAACAATCGTGATATTTGAACACGATTCACGAAACGATAAAAATGTCAAAATACTATTGTAGATAAATTGATGTTTAATAACACACTTTAAATAGCATAGATACAACGTGGTGGTAAAGTCCGGAAGTAGGAATCAAATAATAATTGTAGATTGCTCGTATAAAGACCGCGGACGTGTGAAACGACTTGCATCTTTCCGATTTGAAAATCTTGCGGTATCTCACTCATGAAAAATTAATGATGTACGCCTTTATACTATTTGTGCAGAAACTAGGTTTCAAAATCGTTTCCAACCGTTTATCGGTGGCATTTATGCGGACACGGCACTGTCAGAACCTCGTATACGTGCGACTATTATTATACGTTTCAGTTGCAGATGAAGAACGAGTGCATAATGTGATACGCGATCTAGTTTGATTCCGCTTGGCTTTAGTGTCACATATAATAATTTCATGCGTTTAAATGTATATAAATAATAAAAATACATAGCTGATAATTTTAAGGTGTAGCGTAATAGGTATCTATGTACGAATGTACGTCATATATAGATATAATAACGCGGAATCGAACATGCAACTAGCAAACGAAATTACGTAAACACTCCATATTGTTATATATTTTATACACCACAACAGACTGCACGTTACATATTATTATAATTATAATGATAATAATGATTTTTGATCGTTTTGCTAAGACTGCTCTCGTTGTCCGGGGCTCTGTACCGCGATTTCAGACAATTTTCACGGTTATTCAACTACACGTATTTTTATATAATATATATAAACCTAGAAAATAAATAAATATGTAGGTATATAACACGACGACATGTTTCGAACACACTTTCTACGTAATATTTAGACAAGTATCGAGTATTAACCGCTCGGAGGCCGGGCGGTGGTCGTTATTCGTATATCGACCGTTGCCCCTTCCCCCCCCCCCCCCACCACAAACCATTTGCCGCAAGCGCGTATACCCTGAGGGATACGACAATTTAATAATAACGATAATATTGTGATCATTATAAATGCATGTGAGTTGCCGGAAAGAACAACTAAAAACTGCTAGTGTGATTACGAACTATTATGTAGTATTATATTTATATATGACACGCGGACGAGTCGCCCTATAGTATATCGTAATGAACCGCCGCCAGTCACACGAAATAGCCGTCTCCCTCTGTCAACCGACGAATAATAATAAATAATAATGATATGCGATCCATCCGTCCGTTATAATAAAATAATAAACTGTAATTTTATAACAAAATCATAGTAACTTTTCAAAAATATTATAACACTTGCAATCTCGGTATATGATCGTTGTATATTATCGTATCAACAATTATTTGTCACACACGTCCCTATACCCGAGTGAGCAGTAGGTGTGGACATATAAATACATGATATATATATAACGATATACCTATGTGCAACAACAGGTGTTGCCCATAAATATGATTAGGGTAGGCACACTAAATTTTTTCGGAAAAAAATCAATTTTTTGGCATTTTGCATAAAATCAAAATCTCAAAAAATAATGATACGCCATCGACATCTAAATTCTATAATTTATTTTTAATATTATTATTTATTATCCAATTTAATGTGACGTGCCGGTGAGGACTGATGAAACAAAACGAAAATATTTTCTTCGTATCCCTTCGAATACGGTTTGGCACTCTAATGATTATGAATGTTTAAATATTATCTATACGATATAACATGCTGTATGCCTGCTACTCACTTGTAATCCCGCGTAGGTCTGATAAACTGGCCAGCTGCACGAGTATACCATGGCTCTGCCGGTTTTGTTCAGGTGGTAACCGAATTCGCTGTAACCTGTACAGGACAAAAATATAAAAAGTGTGTAAAAAATAACATATATACCTAACCTAACTCACCACCCACGGTCGTATACCAGACGGTGGATTAACATACTTTAATATAACTCTTGATACGAAGGGTTTTCTTCTGTCTCAACACTCCACATTAATCATATTTTTATCTGATGTTAATTGGACATTTTTTTTATACAATAACAAATACATTAAAAAACAAGGCTCACTCTTTAAAATAGAATCCTTTCTCTCAAATATACCACGTCGTAAGACGAATCCTTATTCGATTAGCAATAACTATTTTTGTATAATTTTTTATCATTATGTTATATACCTTGGTCCATGTCTTTAGGTAGCGAGTAACAACCGTCCAGTTTGACGAAATCTACGTTCCACTCGGCGAACGTGAATGCGTCCACCTCGAGAGATCCCAATATTCCTGGATAGCCAGCACACGTGAAGTTACCGTAGTCTTCATAAATGCCAAACTTCAGTCCTCGTGAATGGATCTATATACAAACAAGAGCCGAAAAAATATTATTTTATTATGCATTGACGTACTGGTATTTAGAATCATGGCAGATTTGACGTCCTACCACGTTACTCCCCCCCCTCCTAACACACACACATGTTTATCGTACTGTTATACTATTGTGATTGAATTAGTATCTAATTTATCTATTATATTTTACTAAACTTAAGATAATATAGATATATACAATGTAATACTTGTAACATCGACTGAAATGCAATATATCGAAGGTATTAAAACGCTTTAATCTTTATGTTTTAAGTTTTACGGAAGTCGTTATTTTTCACTTTATTATTGTCATTTGATATAATATAGTGCAATTATGTGATACTCGAAGCGTTATTTTCAAAATAAATAAATCTATTTCGCTTGTTCGACACTACAAGGCACTGGCTTATTGTGTTAAGAATCATAATATATATTAGTATTAATTATACAATACTCTAATATCCTATTTCTGCACTAAGTATAATATCTTATTTATATTATTATGTGTAATCATAATAATGTATATATAATACAAAACAGTTTTCAAAGAAATTGAAAATATTGAGATGCGTAATATTATGACGTGTGTGAACTGTGCGGTAAACGGTGAACATTAAAATATCATTAAGTACTCGTATGACGAAACTTTCTCCGAAATCTTATTGTCATGAATATTATCTGTAATACAGACTTTTATTGATATTGCACATCTCGTATGAAATTTATAGGTGGAGGAAGGGGCTTCGTCGACCCAAAATAGAGCAATACATTATAAATAAACGAACTGTGTGTATTATATGTATAACATAGGTACATATAATGAGTCTAATGGCTACAAAAGACTTTCATTTTATTATTCACAATGGTACTGATAGAACTGTCCTGCTGTATGATATAATATACTTCATTACTGCCTATAAATATATAACTAGCACAAACACATAGCACTTAAATCCTAATATATATTATAATATGCAGGGTGTCTCAACACTCTCAACATATACGACCTCGTATGGCACCCTGCATCCACCCACTCACATACATATTTAATTTAAACTTACTCTTCTACTAGCTCCTTGTGCCATGCAGTCGAAACCTTACGATTTAGATCACTATTTGAATACTCGTTAGTTGATAGTTTAAACAATCAAACTTTTAGGACAATTGCATCAATTTTCATAAATTAGCTATCATAGATTTATCAGAAACAATTGAAAAAAAATGATCGAAATATTTTTATTTTGAGTTAAGGTAAATCATAAAATGTTACAATTATAATATCGAAACTATAATAAAATAATAATTTTCCAACATTTTATTTCAAAAGTATTAGTTATAGAAAACAGTTATTAACAGGGACAATGACGATTTGGTACATTTTTTTTTTTTATCATTTTGTCTTTTTATACTCAGTATATAATTATAATATTATATAAGTACTTTAAAATTTAGGTTGCTACTAATTTTGGACATAGGTCGTGATTATAATTATCCAAATTATAATACATTTAAAATTCACAAAATAGAATGATAGTTTGTGTGTAAGAAACAAACATATAATCGATGGAAATATTTAAATTTATATAAAACTTAGGACGAAGAACGTACTAATATTTATAATTATATTATAGAGTGCAGCGCAATAAAATATGAATCAAGTTGTGTTTTTGATATGGGTTATTTATACTTTGATGCAAATAATATGTTTACTATAGAAAATCAGTTTTAAAAATTAGAGGTTTAAAAATTATATTATGGTTCACTTCGGTGTACTATATAACTAGTTACTAGCATAGCATAATTTCTCTCTTATTTACATCTATAATTTATATGTATAACAAATAGAATATATAGATACCAGGTACCTAGTGTGCTACCGGAAAATGTAAATATTTAGGAATCAGTAATTTTTAAATCATGTTTTACATGCAAATTGTGCCATCAATTATTCATCATTTTAAATGTATACAATATTGAATTACTTTTATTTAAGTTAAAATAGTTTTAATAATAATAATATACATAATGACTGATCTCATATAAAATTGTTAACAATGCATTTAAAAACTATTTTAAACGCTTTTCGAACTAAGTTATTAAACTTGCGATAATTATTTGTTTTTTTCTTAACAGATAACCATTGTTAAGAGTTTAAAACGCATATTATGTACCTATATTTATAAACGCCTATTGACCTAGATGACCTAACAAAATAATGTAAGTGTTAAATCGTCTTCATCTATTATCTGTGTTCTGTTTAATTATCATAAGAATGCGCGTTGGTTTTAACGAATCAATAATGTTTTCATAACAGTCTGTAAATACGTATTATTAATAATAATAATTAATATTATTATCATTATTGCGCATTAATAAACAGCGCATGAGATAAGTCAATGCAGCGTCATAACGAGCGACAAAACGCTTTTAGAATATTAAAACTATAAAATAATAAATAAACATGGATTCAGTTATAATATATACTTAACAATAATAAAGTTTGATTAACTCTTGAAAATGTAATGACTTGTAAAAACAAAATTTGAAAATTAATCACTCTTACATAGATTGTAGATAAACCAAAAATGGAAGGTTAGGTTTAAATGTGAAGGCACTGCGTTAAACTTGTCAAATGTTAAAAGCTTCACGGCTAAAAGCCTTTCAAAAGTTGTACACGTAAGACACAAAGAAGAAAGGAAGTTCCTCGAGTAGGTGTTTTGAAAAGTGATTAAAATCAACGAATTTCAGTGTTGACTTTTAAATATTTTATTTGCTCAATTGTTATTCTGTGACAGTAGTGTAGTGCTGTCAACCGTGAAAACGCAACTTAAACGAACCACCTCTCTTGACTCCAGTCAAAATAAGACGTGTTATACATTATACAATTATTATTACATTATACGCGCGCAATGAAATCGAATACAGAAATATTTAAATAAATCAAGTTCGCGATCATGATTCATCGAGTATAAGTACAATAATTATTAATTAATAACATAGTTCTGTATTTGTATCGGAGAGAAAGATAATCGGCGCACGCAATCCATTTGTCTGCCATCATGAATATAATAACTCAAGCGCGTAATAATTATACAGATACGAGTATTTGTTTTTTTTCATATTTTTGTTACTGGAAAATAATGCGTGTACCGGAAACAAAAGATACTAAAAAATGATATTTTATTCTACTTATCTGTATTATAAATGGTTGTCACTTGTTCACACTATTGTCTATTAAAGTCTTAAGTGGTTTACTCATAACAAATACAGACCTGCGTGGCTGTGTTCATATTTTATATAACTTTAATTTAACCTCAAACGCGGGTACGCATCGCTGCGTCAGGAATGTCGTTCGGCGCTGTTATACCTACTGTTGCACCTGTCATCTGTTACTATTATTATCATTATTATTGTTGTTGTTGTTATTATTATTATTATTGTTGTTGTTGTTATTACGATAAATGAAGTACTATGATTAATATATAATAGTCGTTGAGCAATTCGGTGCGTAAAAAGATTAGGTACTATAACAACCGTGTTATATGAACGAAAATTTGTTATTACTTAAGTACTTTTCGTTTGCACAATTCAATAATTACTGAAAATGTAATAATTAATAAACGACATACGTGACTTGAAGTTCACCGGTTAAATGATCGATTTGCACGTGTTTAATTATCACTGTAGTGCCTATTACTATATGCATTAAACAGATAACTATATAATGTTTTTGAGATTGTGTTATTATGCATATCATAGTATATATTATAATATAGTATGAGACTGAGATAAATTGCTGTCGTTAATCGCTAAAAAATATTGCATAAAGAATGATGAAGAATATTCCGAATAAGATGTACCAACGTCCAACGCACATCACACGTCCTGTCATCGTAACAGTTTTTTTTTCAAATTATTCGCGTTATTGTCACGCCCTAGTTATAATCCTTTTATCCTCTTATTATTAATACTTTTTTCATTATTTTTTCGTTTAAAAATTGACATTACCTATTGTTTTATAACATATATTAAATATGTAGGTACACCATATGTTCGAGTAGCGTAATTTGGTTTTCCAAATTATATTAGGTATATGTGTACTTACGGTTGGTAATTACTGCACTACATATAATAACATTGTCTCGAGTAATTAATACCATATAACATATACATATATAAAGTATAAATAATAAACACCAGGGCTTGCAAACGTTATAATAACGTTATGTTTGACAAAAAACGATTGAAATTTATAAACGTAATTATAACGGAAAACGATAAACATAAATAATTAAATAATACAAAACAAAACATGAAGATTAACAAAATATATTACACCTATATCATCAAACAAAACATAACGCAAAACGTTATATATATATATATATCATTTTAAAAAAAAAATTAATTTCAATTATTTAATTAATAAATTATAAAATATAGTAAAAATTTTAATTTTGAATAATGATAAACGCAAAATTTGTAAAACGTTTTAATTATAAATAACGTATAATAAAATTTTTTTTCAAATGCAAGCCCTGATAAACACACAAAACTCAGCTGATTGGGAATAAGGGTGAACGCTAGTTAAATCGGTGCAGTTATATTATTGTTAATAATTCAACGTGGAAATTGAGAAATACAATAAAATATATGATAGAATTTTTTTTCATTCTATTCGTGCGTTAACATCTCAAATATTATGCAAGACAATATTTTATAATAATGTTAATATCTACATATAATTCATAAATAAAATAATATTAAAATCACCCGACGAAGGATTTTTTCAACTCATGAACCGTTAAACACGTTTTATTAAAGTGGTATAATTATTAAAGAAAAGTAATCGAGCCATAAATGAATCATAATTAATATACGCTTACACGTATAACAAACAAATCGTGAAATTAAAAATAATTAAAATGTATTATTACACGTCTTGTACTTATTATACGATTGGTCAAAAGTTATTCGATTTGTACAGATTGCACATTTGAAGATTACAAAAATAATAATAATAATAATAAACCACAAACATAATATTATTATCGTAACCTAAATTTTAATAATGTACAAAGACATTCGTTCATGAACGTATTTCATTCTTTAAAAAGTTCATTAAATGTATTTTATCAATAAATTAGGCGATCAGTGGCCACGAATATTGAATTTCAAATTATATGTATTATGTAATGTTCAAAAGCTTAACATAATAACTTTACATACGTATATCAATGTGTAATATTAAGTCTTATATTTTTACCCGCTCTCGCGTAAAAGTTTGAGTAATACAAACTTTATCTCCTTTCTATATATACATAATAATCAAACTTTGAGACTTTAATACTTTGTGTAATTATTTTTCATAAATGGTTTTTAATTTGAAAATTTTGTTCGAAACTGAGAACAATAAAAACACAACACTAGTATTATTGATTTTATTTTATTTTTTTTATTTTTTACTCAAAACAATATTAGATACTTTTATTATTACTAATCAAGTGCATGAGACCGATATTTGATACAAACCATGTACACAAAAACGTCGAATAGTTTAGTTTTATTGGAACCCGGAAGCAATTTTAAAATAACGTATAAAATACATATGTGACGATAAGTAATTTATAAGTTCACAAATTTTTAATATTTCAAAAACAATAGTAGAAATAGATACAATATAAGTAATTACCAATGTAATGAAATCTCGAAAAAAGACATTCGACCTACTTTTATACAACTTTTATGAATTTTTTTTTTCTGATTTTCAGTTTCTAAATTTTGTAACGCAATAGTTATATATTTATGTTCCTTTAATCTATATTAAAAGCATTTTGTTTCTATAAAACTGCTAACATTTAATAATTTTAATTTTTAATCAAATAAGGTGACACAATATATTACATCGTCATACTTATAGATTATAACGATGACGTTTTAATATTAAATTTCAAATTTTTAATTTTTAAAATCAATTAATCGATATTATATATTTTTATATAAGTACTCTCGTCATCTGAATTTGTAGGCGTATACCTAAGTATTATTATACAAAACCCTTTATAGCATTATTTTATCGTGCATAAACCGTAAATTAATACTATTTAATGTATTGTACGAGTATATATACTCACGTATTCGGATAGGTCAGCCATTCCTCTGGGGAACCGTTTGGCGTCAGGCTGTAATCTACCGTCGTACGACCTTGAAAAGTCCAACCAACAGTCGTCCACGTTTATGTACTCATAACCGACAGCTGCGTACCCTTCGGATATCACAAGGTCTGTCATGGTCCTGAAGAGTTTCTCGCTGTATACACAACACAAAACAGACAATGGCAATATAACACGTGACTCTGAATCATTATTATTATTTAATACTTATTATTTACTTTATTATTACTTAATAAACGGAAATATAATAGTATTATATTATAACGACAACACGCGTAATATAAGTTTTATAATTAACGGTAATATTTTTTAAACTATCAAGTTTTTCATATACTAACAGTATACATATTTTTCGAGAAAATCTCTTTTCGACATAATATATGGTACTCTAGGTGTATTTAAAATTTTCGAAAACTTCATACTATACGTCTCATCGTTTTTGCTATTATCAAGGTTTTCTTAACTTTTAAATACATTCTATACACAAACTTAACGAGCTCTAATCGTAATTGCCTTCAAGTAATTATTGAACGAATTAACTTTCAAACGTGTTAATATAATATTATAGATTGTCTAATAAGATTATTTTCTGGACAAGCATTAATTTTATCGGCACCAACGCATTATGTATACGTAAAATATATATCATAATATAGACAATGAAGTTTATCGTAATTTCTGATATATACCGAACTAGATATAATTATGTGGACAACCTTACTGTTATATACGTAATAACACTTTGTTCTCAGTTGTCTTGATGAAATTGACTTATAATTTTTTGTTGTGTTCACAGTCCAACAATTTGACTCTTTGGATAAAAACTGAATAACACGATATTTAAAAATGTCAACACTTAACCAACAAAATAATAAACACGTATAATATTATATACGTAGTGGATGTGCGTATATGTACTTTATATAGATCTTTGCGTTCCAACCGAGGCACTTGATTGACTTAAATGGCGTTATCTGTGCCGAATTCGTCCCATAAGATTATATACACTATAAATAAATGTAATTAATAATCTGTCGCCAATTTTGTACTGGGGTGGTAATCGTTTTCCATTAAACGGTAATAATATATCACATTTATTATATATATGTACCTATATTAAGCACGGTCGGAATTGATTATTCGTAATTTCGAATTACTTCCGTATGACCGTTTTCTGATCACCAAATCGGAAATTCCGTCGTATATTATTGGACCAATTTAAAATGTCAGAGTTGAAATTAACCATATTATTTATTAAACCTATGTTATATAATGTATCCATAAAACTAAATTTAATTTAGTTTATCGTAAAAATAATAGTTAATAGACAGTCTGGAGTATAACAAAAGAGCAAAACATTAGTGTAACTGTAAATTAATAATTATTGATTAAAAAACAATGTGCAATGTGCAATGTGCATTACTTGAACAAATTGTAAAAAAACTTTTAAATAATATTTTGATAAAAATTAAAGAACAAGAAGGTTCTTTTTTCATAATGATAATAACTTCATTCGAAAATATAAAGTAATAATTTTAAAAATATCATCATTTTTTTTATAAACGTCTTTTCGTCGTAACTGACCTAATGGAGTGTGAGAGCAAATGTTTATCACTATATTCTGCTCGATGTGTGTGGTGTTTCCGTAGTAAACGATATACAAAATTAATCTAGCGTGTATAGCGACCTAGAACTACCACAAAAACCCCAAAATAATAATAATAATAATAATAATAATAATAATAATAATAATTTGACTGTAACAATAATTTAAATAATATGTGCGCATACCATTTTCCTGTCATTGTAACAATCGATAAGGAGGACACTCGAGCGTTGTTGTGTTATTATTATTATTATAATTTTATAAAAAGAGAATTCGAACACTTTGTGTATGACGTCTATAATGTTATTATATATTTATCCAGTTCGGTTCAAGGTCTGAATTCGACCCTACAACGCGATTAAGTACGACATAATAGTCCGCCACGGTGCGTTCTTTTCATGCCCTCTTCGAATCAAAAAAAAAAAAAAAAAAACAATAAAAACTAGGTTTTCTAAGAATGTTTCTGGAATAGAGTTCAACCGGCCGCGGCGTGTGGTACCGAATCGTGACTGCAGAATATATATGCATTTTTTTTTTTGCCTAATTCCAATCGAAGAAGTCTCCGTCCAAAATGATCATTACGGCGGAACATGCGTAAAACCTGAACGTAAAATTAAAAAAAAAAAAAATACAAAAACAAAAGGAATACTATTCCATATCAAAGAGTTCTTCGACTGCATCATAATATAGGCAACTATACTATCTACTATACACGACTACGCAGGTAACAATGGGAATTTATATGTTTAAAATATTCTGATTTTTATGGTTGACTCAAAATTCAATGAAATCGGAAATAGTACGCATAATACTTAAGTATATCGAATATTAACCTTTAGATAATGAGATCAAGCTTTTATTTTGATTTTTTTTATTTACCTATAGTTAACCATAGTAAACAGTTTCAACTTGTTCACTAACTTAACACTCCATTATTACTCGTACCCTTAATAAAGGCCCTTAAAAATAGATAAAAATAAAATTACGATAACCGGTCGGGATTATCATCCACCTCGTCGGAAATGTGGCGGCTAATCCCACGAATATCGAGGACCCCTTTCTTGATTCCATCCAGTCATTATTCTTTTATTGAACGCATACATTTAAAAAAAAATATTTAAAAACTCATCAATGATATTGTTGAATTTTTTCATTTTTAAGCCGAATAATAAATATTGTGTAACGTCTCCACTCATAGTATACCTACTACTACGTCGCTTTCTGTTGACGTCAACACGACCACACGGTAACTTTTACCACATTCGCCATCAATTGTGTAAAACGGTTTATATCCTTATAAATGGAATGATTTTAAGGGGGCGAACTATAAAACACATTTACATCGTGTACAATATATATTATAAATCTATACATAGAATACATAGCAACCTACGCACGTTTTTGTCGTGATCTCTTTTTTTTTTTTTTTACTGAAAATCGTGACGTCGAGCCAATCGATGTGTTATTATTATTTGTTACGTACCTATACGAACGCAGAGATAAAAATAATTATAGATATTTTTGCTATCGGTAAGCCACAGGGAGATATATGTAGGTGCAAATATGCAATATATAGCTGCAATACCAGTTTTCTGGGCCAGATCGTACGGCAGAACAATCGATTCCATGTTTATGTCTTAAACATAATATATATATATATATATTATAACCTCCTGGTATCGGGCGTTGCGTAACCGAATAATATTTAGCAGATCGCGATTGTTTCCTTCATCAGTAATCGTTACACGACGATTTACGTACCTTGACAAATTTGGTAGATGGGAAAAAAATCTGATGACAAAATCTAGGCTAATTATTATAACAAAAAAACAAACGACACCATTTATTCTCAACTATGTATATTGTATATATATATATAATATATAGATAGGTTTATAGGTTGTAAAAAATTTCTAGATAATATACTTGAACTGCGGCATGCAGGCCGGACTATAGTTTCAAGTTTGGGCGCATCATTGTTTTTGAGTTGATTGCACTATGGCACTATACATATACTTTTTAACCTCCACGCGGTCGACGAGTATATTATGATTAAAAACGTGCTTTTGGCTCATCAATTCAAATTATCTTCAACCCATAATTATTAATTAACAGTTTTCACCGAATTTCCGAGGACGAATGTCATGAACGCATTGTTATCGTTGTTAAAATGTGTTCTTGTACTTGATACATTATTTGTACTTGGTTCATCCTCACTCGGATTTAATAACTACGGTAGGTATTATTATGCATTCATATATAACACAATATGTATCTGTCCTTGACTTTTGTTACGTCTGATTTTTAACTATTTTACAATTTTACGAGGTTGCGCATGGAGTATTTTGTTGTTCTGTAGGTGTTTTCGGCTACTGTCGTCTGCAATAGACGGGAGCCACCGTCAGCTCTATTATTGTTTTTGGAAATTGTGTATTATGTATAGTATAATGACTAATAATTTGTGGCCGGCATTTAACGAGCATATTATATTAATGCAATGGCGACTGATAGTCACTTCCCGTTGATTCCGTGGTTTGTTTCCGTCTAGTCGACGCGGATCACCACAATAAGTGCGTTATTGGTTTCTAATGAGAAATTTCTGTTTGGAAAGTATCAAAAATTATCATGTTTGCAAACCCGAAGTAGAAAAAAAAGAAATTTTAGGAAAAAAGCTAACAATAATATCATTATCAATGAAATCTGAACAAGCAGTTAAAAAAATAGATTGCCTATTAACGTCAATCAGGAAACGAAATATTAAATTACATTTTGTATAAGTTTACTATATAATAAATTATAGATACATAGTATTCAGCTAAAAAATATAATTTTAATAGCTCTTCAAATTATATTAAATTCTCTTGTCATAATTATAGTTAATATTCGGATAGAAATCTAGTATTTAAATTATTATAAAATATTGTTGATCTTATTTGGCCAGCAAAATAAACATAATTTGATTATTATAAGTAATAAGCAGATAAGTGTTTACATTACGATTTGGTCTACAAATATACCACTAACTTATTTGTGTCTTATAAATCTAAATAACATAGGTATATAGATTTTATTTATTTATATTTTGAATAACTATTAATATTACCTTATACAATTGTCAGGGTCATTTTTACAATCAGTATTGCATCTAAATCTTTCCCACGCTAACCATCCCATCGGAGGTGTCCTGGCTAAACCGTTTTCCAGACAAAAACTGCTTGTCAGCAATTGGAACACCGTTAAGGCTGTTATCCATTGAAAAGCTGCCATGTTATAATCTGCGAATATAAAAAAATTATGTTCTATTAATACAAGGTTTTTTTTTTATATATATATAGAAAATATTATATAATGTTGTCACGTCAAATGAGGATGATTTTAATATTTAAAATTTATTTTTAAATAATACTTACTCAAAAGTTTAAATTTTAGGGTGTTAAAACATTCTAAATAGTTTAATTATATAACATATTTAATAGCTGACCACATTGTGTATATTATTATAATGGCACTCCATTATGATAAACCAATTATTCATCATAGAAAATGTGTACTTAAACAACGATATCATTATGTTAAAATATGTGTATACTGTACACAATAAACTTATTTCATACCACTTGACATCTAACCATTTTTATTAGGCATTCTTAAGTTGTATCGTAGACTGCAATATATATGATGCGGGTTAAATGGTTATGAAATTTGAATAGAAAGCTTAATATGTTATATATACATAAATATAACATATATATATATATATATATATATACTTAGAAAGTTCGGAAAAAGATAAACAAAAGTATTTAAATTAATCATGTTATAATATTGTTTTCATAGATAAATACTTAATATTTTTAGTTGATTGATCTTGAATAGTAGTATTAGTATAGCTTAATTGTCTGTATATAATTAGTCACATACTGAAATAAATTAACTTATGAATTGTAACTAACTATTATATTATGTAAAAATTAACAATTAATTAATAATTACCAATGATGATGATAACTAATTCTATTAAGATATTTTTAAAAAGTCCGAGAATAATTTATGAAATTTTATTATAATTTATATTTAAATATATGTAAAAAGTTTGAAATTGAAAAAAAAAATTAATAAAAACCAATAATAATATTAATCTGATGTTAATTTTGTTATGTAATAAAATAAATACTAATGGAGTTATACATTATGTTCACTGGACCAATCGACCGCATTTAACCATTTTAACCGGTTATATTACATTTGAAGGTTACAAACTAATCATCAGTTAATCGTTCGATAACTTAAAATGATCTGAAAATATGTCATTTATAGTTTAGAAATACAAATACGATATATGATTACTTACAAATTAATAAATGTTAATTTTAAATATGTATGTGTAGAGTAAATATTTAAAAAAAATTAAATCGTACGATTATTATAATATGCTTCAGACTTAGCACTTACCTACTTAATAGATCACTAGATAAAGAAATTGACATTAATCATATACTTTGATAATTATTTGCTTCAAAGATAGATTTAATCTTTCAGAGTATGGGTAACAAATTTTGTATAGTTAATGGTATGGGAAATGTGAATTTTAGTAAAATTATAATACACGCTTTGTTATTCTACAGGTAAACAAAGCAACTGTAAACCATATTTTGGTGAAAATCGTTTTTTATTGTTCTTAAACCTAATCGACTAGCTGAGCATCTGGTGCGATGATATCCTTTGGAATAAAGACGACAATTAGACCTGGTTTACAGAAAAAGTTAAAATAACGTGAAAATCATTCTTCCCGTTGTGACAGGTGACATCGTTTATGGTCGCAGCTGACACATTTTTACTGAATATTTTTTGCATACTATTAAAATATAACTGAAGAAATAATGTAAAAATCTTTTTAAATAAACGTAGTATAAGGAATGTTTTTGTTAAATCGTAGTCATCGATCACAGGTTTTTTTTTTTTGAAAATCAATGGTTATATTAACGATACACCTGTATAAAGCGAATATAAATAAAACTGTATCCCTGGTGGTTAGAACGAATTTTGTATTTTTAATGCTTGTCAAAATTCCGAATAATGATAGTTTTTGGACCTGAAATTTTCTCTATTTATAATTTGAGTTCAGACAAATACCGAGTATCAAATTCTATTGAGAGCTATGCAATTAGTATAAAAAATATTATTTCGTTAGAATTTCGGTCATTTTCACACACATCATAGCGTATTAGTTTTACCATGTAGCGCTTGCATCGTATAAATTATAATATATAGTTACTATGTAGGTTTTTAGAATGCGAGCGTTAATATTCTAAAACTAATTCATTTACAGAGGATGGTTTTTTTTTTTAAATCTAAAATTATAATAGCAGTGTTATTCGTTGATTCGTGAAGATAAATGAAAAGACGTAAGGAATACTTTAAAGGACAATGCTCCTCCGATCACATAGTGGACATTTTAATGAAGTAGCCAATCCTAATTGGCTCAGCAAATTTCATAATTTTTATTCAATATGTAAAAATAAAAATATATCGACGGCTTTGCGCATTCCTTACTTCTGTTCGACACATAAAAAAATATGTTAATATTATATCAGTGAAGAGTAGAGGCAAAAGTTTTCTTGTCCAAAGGCGGAAAAGTCTTAACTGAGAAGGTTAAAGGAATCATATGATAATATAAAATAAAGCGTTGTAATATTTTCACTGACAATTTGACTTGTCGTCGACGACGAATTTCCGATATAGCATTATTTGGAGCAAATTAAAAAAAGGAAATAACTATACATAATATAGTGCATATTTACAATGGCATTACAAAGACGTATGGGTAATATAAGGTTTATACAGTATATAGGCTTATAGCTTATACTATTATCATCTAATATCAAATTAAATGTTACATAATATCAAAAAATATTATAAATATACCCACTTGCATTAAATGTTTACACTATTACGCGAGATTAAAATAGCGACAACGGCATTGATGGGCGTGGGGAATATATCGCTAATTAAGTAGATCCCTAATAATATTGATTGGACGTCGTTGTCGTAGCTATTAATTTATTTTAACGGGTAGATCGCGATCCGAGTTGCGCTCAGGTCGGTGGGATGGGTTGTCTGCAAGAGTAACGGTGTTAAAAGAAACGTCATGTTTCAAACGAAAGGATTGGGAATGGCCAATGGATATAAATCTACTATAACGAAAACGGTATACATAATATCTGTTCCGACGCAGTTTATGCGATACAATAATTTATCAATACAACGCCGACGTGTAAAATGTCGTCTGTAGCGCGCTCGTAAACAACGCAGACGATTTACACATGGCGTCGTACCTTTACATACAGGTACGGCTTTTACCTGACGCGCAATCGTGTGGAGATGTCGGCTGTCGCTGCTCCTCTTGCAGACGGGTGCGTGCGAATCGCGCGATCTGTTCGCGAGTGTACGGTGATGTCCGAGCTCAACTACTCATGTCCGCCAAAAGAAACGTTTTTGAATATTGTCTTCGGTGGTGGGCCAATATTCCGAGTTCCATATATCGAGCGGTAGATATTATTATGCCGTAACAATATCGATCACTGTAATCCGCCGATGATGTCCACGCACATCGTCTTCCGGCGCCGTCGAGCAGTGTCCACTCCGTATGCGCGTTTGCAGTGATTTGTGATGTGTTCCTTCTCCCCTCTCGACCGGTCAGGTAGGTAGGTATACGACGCCGTGCCGCGATATTAAAATTATATCGCCGCCGGTTTTTTACGCGATCGCGTAAAATATTCTACGATCGTGCTGTAACAATCGTTTTTATTACCTATACGCCCTATCAGGCTGCAGCAAAGACACGTCTGACGGCGTGTGTGCTTTCGCGACGACTGTCGTTTCGGTTCGCAACGAGCTATTAGTGTGATGCGTGCGTGCGGCGGCGGTGACTGTGGCGCGCGCGCGTTCGCCGGACTGGTTCGGGGACCCGCTCGGCTGCGCGCCGGTTCGTCTCCCCGCCGCCACCGCCACCGCGTCGTGGTTTAGATGAGTTTTCTGTGCGAAAACTCCAAAAAACCGAAGTCCTTGGACGATTCCATAATTCTTTTTTTTTTTCCTTTTTTTTTTTTTTTTGTCCCGCAGTCTCTAGCACGTACACATGTGGGGGTTTTTTTTTTTAACCTAGCTGTGTTTTTTTTTCCTCAAGCTTTTATTCGATATCGGTGCCGTTCACTGACGACCGGTTCTCCGCTTGTAATACCTTCGAGATGGGAAGGTATTATACTAATGTGTCGAAAATAAGAAAAAAATGGATTCCAATCCCGACGAACAATAATGAGTAATAACTTAATCGCATCTCTGGCACATATAATATACGTATACATACAACATACATGTATAATTAGACGTGTACGTAAAACGTATTACAGGTAAATACCTACCTAGGTATTTGATATTTGCGTGTACCACGCTGTGTGCATAAATATATATATATATATATATGTTTTACGCAAGGGTACCCGATCTATATGGGTAGAGTTACAAATAGTTGTCTATATTATATATTTTATACATACCTTTCTCTCAGACAAACGCATATCCTTGGATTTTAAATTTTAAATTACTACGATTGTACGTTTTTTATTTATTTTTTAATTTAATGCCCGTAAATTACTCATTGCTCTTGTATATGAACGTATAATATACATATTTACTGTGAATTTAACAGTCGTCGTCGTCGTCATTATCCGGAAAACAGCCATTTCGTTTCGCCAACCCCGAAGTAGCGAGAGAGATCGTGTGTTATACTTGTATTTATTTAATATAATACAATATCATCATGGACTCATCGTTAATGTTAGGTGTATAATATGTGTGAGTGTGTACTCTTTACTCTATACGTCTGCCTACACAGTACACATACAGCCCGAACCAATCGCGAGTACCTTGTAGGCATGATGAGTACTTTTTAAAATGTATAGTTTCGTTAAAAGTTGACTCTAATTATTATACCTACATGAATATAAGTTAATTTTACCAGTGATGTATGAATAATGCAAAAACAAAAATGACAATTTTCGCTATTTTTTTTTTTTTTTATCATTATTTGACAGTACACACACCTTAAAAATTTTAACTAAAAAATAATTAATACCGTTATGTAACGAAAAATATGCTAATTATTTCATCGCTTTGATTTGAATTTTTACTTAGTAACGATTGCCGCTAATCGTATACAAGAATTTTTTTTTCTCCGTTATAGAATTATGAACATAATTAGATATTATTTTTAATAAATTATCAAAGACACGAGGCGAGCAATGAAATACGAATTAATATGACATAACTTTTTAATGGCCCGAGTTAAAAATATGAATGCTACATAATTAAAAGTTAGAAAGTTCCGCGTTATGTATTCCGTGACGTTGTATGCATCACAATTAAAAGTAAAATGTTTCCTTATAACTGATTTAATATATAGTATAGTTACTTACAATAAAATATTGATATATTGATATTAATATATTTTCATAGATCCTTTTTGTTTGAATTTTAAAATAATATGTTCTTCGACTCTGTAATATTATATTACTACGTTTTATTCTTCAAAATTTCCTAATCACGGACCAAAAACGTTAGTCGCTTAATTTTTGTGTCTCTTTAACAATCTCGCTAAAATTCTAATTGACTTAGTCGTGAATGCTTATTGTTCAAATATAAAGAGAAGTATGTAAGTGCATCACTTTGTTTTCAAAACATAATTTACATAATATACGTGAGTGTGTACTTACGTTTGTAAACTCGAATTGTTGTAGTAGGTATGTCATTTTTATACACAATAAACTTTTAATTACTTTTAGTTTCAACAACATTTCTTTATAATTTCAATTTCCAAGTTATCGAACGTATCTATATCCCAAGTTATAAATACCAGGTAAATACATAATTTCATTGTAAACATATGATCATGAAATAGTATTTATAATGAAAATAATACATTATTAAATACAATTTAGTATAGTAAGATATTATGGAACGGCATAAACACAGTATATTAAAAGTTTATGCGGTAATACGAGCATTGTGTCGTGAAACATATTATAATACTTAAATAATGCATTATTAAAAGTTTATAAAATAACTGTTTATAATTGTTTTACGGCGTACCTACATCGTTTGACCTAACATAATTTGCTTTTCGTGCACTGCGTCTATACACAATATTATTATAATAAATAAACTATAATAGTTTAAACATATATGTATTGAGATTACAGTATATAATCCTAATGTGACGTATGGTGAATACATCTTGTAAAATAATAAATAGACATCTATAGCATTATTGGATGATAAGTTTCGTTTCTTCATATTTGTCTACTAATTAATCAGACTTTAATATACATATAATTAGAGTCATAAAAATTTAGGAAATAATAAAATACAAATCATTTTCGTGTATTTTATTTATAAATATTAAACAAAAAGGAGTTGTGCAATCACGATCTTTTTTAGTACTAGATCCGAATTGATATCGAGTGCGAAAACATTTTGCATTACTTTAGAGCAGCAGTTCCCAACCCATAGGCCGAGAGCCATAGGTATAATATTAAACATTATATATATTTAAAATAATATTATTATATTTCTGATCATAATAATATTTAATCAATTTTAACTATAGTATACAATAAGTGTACAAGTAACAAGTTTTAATCCAGATATTGACTTTCTCGTGAAGAATAAGCAATGTCAAAAATCACATTAAATTGTTTATCTTGTGATAAAGTTGAATTAAGTTTTTTTTTTTAATAAACAATTTTTTTTTTAAATTTTTTAAATTTGTTATTCCTAATAACTATATATATATAATATATAATATATGACATATGTTATGTTATATATTATAATTTTATGAAAACGTATATAGGTATGCTATGGATGAGCCTCAAATATTTTTTTTAAAAATTAATGGTCCGCGAAACTAAAAAGGTTGGGAAACGCTGCTTTAGAGTATTTAAGTAGGTATGCAACTATACTGCATGCGTTATAATTGTGTAAAAGAATCATACAAATCAAGCCTCTAGAAGAACATTTGCTATAAAGTCGAACAATAGAATATAGTGTTTTAATAACAAGGTTTATTAAAAATAAGTATATCTGCCTAATTTTTTTTAAAAAAATTAGAAAAGTGACCTCTTTATGTAATAAGTAGAATACGTCAATACGATAATGACAACTAATTAAGATCTGTTGTAATTTATATACATAAATATATATGAACCAAACGTGCAGTATCTTTTTTAAATGACCTAAATGAGATGAAAAAAAAACCGTCATTGTAAAACGAATATAACTATTTTTCAATATATTATGTATGATGTGCAAAATAATTAGAAGCGATGAATGAACGAACAGTGGGAAGAGGGTCAATCGGTAATATAGTCATCCTCATCTACCTAGATGAGAGATGATTATATTATATCTTAGCGTAGGTGATGATTTAAATTGTGTTACATTGTTACAAGCAAGTCGCTGTAAAAAAAAAACTGTCTTCCGGCGATGGTGCTACTCGAAAATTATCTCATTGGATTTCGCAAAAAAAAAAAAAAAACTCAACCAACGATTTAATGGTTATGCCGGAACAATATATTATTATTATTGCCGCGGTGTGGGACTATTTTAATGACCATATTATATTAAATACAAAAATATATACACTGTTATATGCCACCAACGACCGTAAACAAATATAGTATACAGCTGCATAATACCAGTTGTGGCGTATAGGTACGTTTACCCAACTAGGGGTCATTTGTCTCTTAAATTTACCTTGCACATATGTTACATATTACAAGTAACTAGACAGTCTCTTCGTTTTTTTTTTATTAACACGATTATTTTAAAGCTCGCGCGTAGAGTAAAATATTATATTATACGCATAATATTGATCATCGGTACATCGCCCGCGTTGTCGCGACCTTGGATCCCTCGCATTAGACTCGAAAACTCGTCGAAATTAACATAAACGCGCGGCACGAGAAGATGGGTAAAAAAAAATCTGTGTACACTATCGCTTCCACCCGTCGGTCATCGTTAAATCACATTCTCTTTTATCCGATTCATTTTTAAACTAGATTGGCATTATTCGCGTGTTTCAATAACGCTATAGCAAATAATAATGACGATAATAACAATAATAGTATTAATAACATATCGTTGTCTATCATTGTGAATCATGACGAATCGCACGTGAACGAAAAAAAAAAAAAATAATAAAATGAGCGTGTTAAACAATAATAACAATAATAAAGTATAATGGGTATATACACGAATCGGCGACTGTTTGTAAGGTACTCCGCGCGTATTGTTCGTCACCATTCGTATCAGTTATTATCATAATATTGACGATATAATATTACATATACCTAAATGTATTTATAAGGTTTCTCGACCATGGAGAGAGAACATAATAATAAGAATCAACTATTAAGAGTTATATATACGCGTACTTTCGTAGTTTCGTACATATTATTATACGTCGCGGGATGCAAGTGATGTATAAAGAATAAAAACTGTACTCAGTATACTCATGTCGTTCAAAATTAATAATAAATTATTATCATACTTTCGAGCACTGCGACCGTCAGTCCGTTAAGCATATTAACAATCCGACGGTCGCGGTTTTACAAACAAGCGAATATTTAATATCTACCATGCAGATATCCGTATGGGTGTCCACGTAATATGAGAGTTTCTTAAATGCTGCGGGTAAAGAAGACGCATGAGGCATGACGTATAATTCATTTGAAATAAAATTTACATTTTTCCATTTATTAAATTTAAAAATACCGACATTTTTTTACATGACGTTAAAGTAAGCCCATCGTTCAATTTCAGATTAATCCGCAAGTGCTTATCGTTGAACTTAT